GAATCTATGGTGAAAATGTGTATAATTAACAATAAAATAACATCCTAAAAATTCATTTTCTTCATGCAAAATATAATTAAATTTTTTAGAACTTATTACTAGAATTATTACTGTCAAAAAAAAAAAGTAAAATGTCTGGATGCTTTGAGAATCTATGGTGAAAGTGTGTATAATTAACAATAAAATAACATTCCGTTATCTTAATGATCCTAAAAATTAATTTTCTTTATGCAAAACATAATTTCCATTTTTTATTATTATTTCTGACATCTGAGCTGAAATGTGACCCGGTCGTGTTTTCATGAGATCCACCCATTCATAAACCCCTCTCATACAGTATATATGGTGAGTTTGTGGAGTAATGATGCAGATCTGAGTCCATCTGTCTCCAGACTCGTCCTCGTGTCCCAGTGCAGCTGGGATTGTGTTCAGTAGGATCCCGTCTGCTCGGCTCCGAAGATCCGCTGGTATTCGCTCAGCAGCAGCTCCACGGCCTGGTTCTGATACACCATGTTAATGGCCATGTTTCCGCTCTGAGGCGTTCGGCTAAAAACAGCGAAACGAAGAGCTTCCTGTGGGTTACTTCCTCCAGAGATACCAAACCACAGGAAGATCTTCATGTTCTTCAAGTCCTCTGTGTTAAGAGATGTTTCTCCTCAATAAGAATCAGTCAGAAATGAGTCAGTAGTCATGCAGTAAAAGTACAGATCTATGAGACTTCTCTTCTCTAGCTCGTTTCGTAATCAAACACGTGTTCCCTTTAAAACGTTACTTTTGAATTCTCTCTGAACATTCAAAACATCCCGGATTTTAAATGTTTTAAAAACATTCCATTTCATCGTTTTTTTCAAACGTTATGGGAATGTTACATTTGAGTGTTCTCTGAACATTCTGAAACAAGTGACATTTAAAAAACGTTAGATGAAACTTTTTTTTAAAAAATGTTTCAGACATAAAACATTCCATGTACAATGTATAAATAATGTTTTTGTGCTAATGTTTTGAGAATATTAGTGACTTTGAATGAATGTTTTTTAGTGCATTAGTAGAAGAACGTTTGTTCATAACTTTGGGAGAAAACGTTCGCTGTTAGTTGGGTAGTTATTAGTCTAATAACATGAAAAAGTTCTGCTCCAATTTATTTATGAAAATTATTTATTGGGTGCATCGATTCAGTAATGAAACTAATTCAAAAAGAAAGAAAGAAACGAAAGAAAGTGCGACTGTGCATAAAGAAAAGAAAATAAAAAGCACACGTTTCATCATAAAAAATATTTTAAAATTATTATTTATTTTTATATTTTTTAAATTTATATATATTTTTTTTTTTTCCTTTTTTTTGATGATGGAGTTGGTTTGTAAGACTATATGTGGCTGGTAATAATTCTGTCTCCATTTAGTGCCTAGACTTCTTGTTGACTAATGTTCAAGTTTTTAGCACTGAAGATGGTCTGAAACGTGTGCTTTTTCTTTTCTTCTCTTCATGCACAGTCACTCAAAAAAAATCTTTTTAAATGTGAATCTTCAGTAAAACTCATTTTCAGTGGTCCTTGAACTTGTAGTCTAATAAACCTGCCTCTGTATATTAAGAATGCTGTCGGCTCTTCAACAAATTGCTTTCAAGTCACTTTGAATAAAAGCATCTGCTAAAAGCATAATGTATAAAATGAATGTGGAGCAGCTCAGAGTTCATGTCAAGACTTTTGATCGCAGACTTCGAGATTTGAGCACAGACTCTGAGAATACAGAGTAACAACTGAGATATTAAAGAGATCTCAGTGTGATCTTTCTATGCTCGGCTTCTTCTGACCAAGAGCCATTTGTGTCTAAAGTAGAAAATGAAGACAAAAAGTGTTTTGTGGTTGTGAAGAAAGATTTTTTTTTTAATTTAAATCAAATGACTCACTGCTTTGACACTCAAAACTAACCACAGAGAACAAGAAAAATATGACAGAAACAAGCAAGCATGATTTATGCCTTTTCATGGTTCTTCAGTTGCTGCTGATGATTCTCGATGCTTCATTGGAGGTTCTTCATTCTTTTAAAGCAGCAGAACATTGAACATTAAAAGAACTTTATTTGCTTTGAACTTTAAAAGATCCTCTGTGACACCAGGCTATGAAACACCTTTATTATTTAGAGCGTAATTTCCTTGCATGTTATATTTTCTGTCTGTATTACAGCATAGACTCAATCCAGGTTTATAAGAAATGTTTTGTGTCATATCTATTTCTCACCATGTATCCGAGCTGCTTGGATGATCTCGTCTGTGTGTTTGTGATGAAGACTCACGGCGCCCTCTAGTGTCTCAATCACAACACTTTCTGAGAGCTGGATTTCATCACAAAACACCTGACAGCAAAGATTCACTGCCTTCCAGGCCAGTCAACTATATCTACACAAGATATGAATCCAGAGAAGACGGGAGATCATTTTATTACCATATACTACAGGAAAAGTAGTGCTTATATGTGATCTGCAATGAGATCTCCTGTGTTCTCATTGGTGGAGGACGAGTGGGCGGAGACTAGAGCGATCCAATCAGAGCGTGAGAAGGTGAGTGTCATTATGACTGAACCAAAGAATTTGATTTGGAATTAAAAACAAGAGTTGAAAATTAAGACTAAATGTATTTTGTGGTTGTGAATGGTGATGGCTGAAAGGAGGCTTTTTAAAAATATGAAAACACGATTCTACAAAACAAGCAAGCTTTTTCATTCAAAGTGTAACCTACATATGATTAAAATCACTAGTTAGTGGATGATGTTGATGGATAACGTGATTCTCTTCACCTCTACTGAACTCCAAAAATGAAAAAAAAGAGATGTTCTTACTTAGTATTTTTGTCTTCTTTTCCAGTACAAATATCTAAACATTATTAAATCAAGATGCATTTACTTGAAAAGCAAAACGACTATCAGAATTAAGTGAGTTTTTGCTTAAAACAAGAGCAAATATCTGCCAATGGGGTCAGAAAAAAATGATCTTGTTTTCCCTTTGAATTATGTTTAGTTTTTGAGCCCATTTGCAGATATTTTTTGTATTAAACTCACTTAATTTTTGTATTTTATTTATGCATTTTTGTCAGAAAACAAGACTTAATATCTAAAGTAATTTTGCTTCTCAAATAAATGTATCTTGATTTAAGAATTCATATACAGTAGTTTATATATTAGTATGTGTGCATGTGTGTGTGTGTATATGTGTGTGTGTGTGCGTGTATATGTGTGTGTGTGTGCATGTATATGTGTGTGTGTGCGCGTGTATATGTGTGTGTGTGTCTGTGTGTGCGTGCGTGTGTGTGCATGTATATGTGTGTGTGTGCGCGTGTATGTGTGTGTGTGTGTGTGTGCATGTATATGTGTGTGTGTGCGCGTGTATATGTGTGTGTGTATATGTGTGTGTGTGTGTGTGTGTGTGTGTGTGAGAGTATGCGCGCGTTTTTGTGACAAATGAGGACATAAATTTGTATAATGACAAAGGTATGACATAGGTATTACAAGGAGAAGGTGACTTTTCAGGACATTACCCCATGTCCCCACTTTTCAAAACGCATATAAATCACACAGAATGGAGTGTATTGAAAATCTGAAATAGCACAAAGTTTCCTGTGAGGGGTAGGTTTAGGGGTAGGGTTGGTGTAGGGCAATAGAATATACGGTCTGTACAGTAGAAAAACCATTACGCCTATGGGATGTCCCCACTTTTCACAAAAACAAACCTGTGTGTGTGTGCGTGTATATATATATATACACACACACTGAAAAAAAAGACAAAAATGACTTGAGGAGTACTTAAGGAGAATCGATTTCATGCATCCATTAAAAATCACCTGATTCAAACACATGAAGACTTCAGACATGAAGAAAAGAGATTTTAGTGAAGAGAAAAGATGTGAGACAGATATAGATTGAGGTGTGTGTGTGATGTGAGCGTTCGTACCGTCTGAGGTGTCGTATCATGTGTCTTAAAGTGTGGGGGTTGTGTGGAGGCATGCTGAGGACCAGCAGCTTCAGTCTGTCCACCTTATCCAGGTAATCAGATAGCTCTACAGGACACAGAAGCATTGAGTCATTTCTAATGAATCATTTCTCATGCATCTCCTCTGGTTTTCTCGTCGTCACTCACTGACGGTCTCGACGATGTCGTGGAAGAATCCGTACGGCACGAGCGGCTCGGGCAGCTCTCTGAAGAACAGCTTGAGCGCTCCGGTGATGACGTGAATGTCCTCCCACTGCGGGTCGTCCAGATCCAGACGCTCTGCAGGAAGACGAGAGCAAGCGTGAGTGTTAGATGCTGCGTGACACACACAGAGATGCTGCATGTTTTTAGGCATCAGGCTGTAGAAGTAGAAGGTCAGAGGTCAAGAAAAGGTGAAGAAGCAGATCAGCGGAGATAATTTGTTTCTCTCTTACACACACACACACACACACACATATCGCATCTCAATTCTGTAACATTTTGCAGGTTCAATACAACTTTATGCGACATAAAGCTGATTTGAAAAATAGTTTTGCACAGAAAATAGTTCTGACTTAAAAATTCTGATTTAAAAATTGTTTAAAAAACCAGACAAAATGAGCTTTTAAGCAAAAAAATTATAATTTTAAATAATTTGATCAGCTAAAAATCTTTTTTTGGAAAACCGGGATATATAACTTAAACAAATTATTTTAAAATTGTGATTTTTAGACCTGGAAAAATCATGTTAACTAATAAAATCTTAAAACAGCATTTTTATAATCAATATCATTTTTTTTTAGTTATGCCAAGCTATGAAATATTTTGTAGAGTAGAAATCAGTGTTATTTTATATACTATTATAGCTTTTTTCCATATTTTTTATGTTTTTCATTTTGAAGTTTTAGTCATTTTTATTAGTTTATTTTTTTAAAGTCTATATAGTTTTCTATAAAGTTTCTATATCATTTGTATATCATATTTTTTTTATTTCAGCTTTAGTTTTATCATAGTACTTCAATTTAAATAGTTTAAGTTTATTTTACACTAAAACTAAAATCATAAAAAATGATACTTGAAACACTCAAATAACATTAACTGAAATTAGTGATTTAAGCATTGAATTTACATGACTTGATCCTGATTTACTAGATAAGGATTAAGAATATGGATTAAAAATATGTTTACTAACAATTTCTACCAGGGTTATTATTGTTAACTAAAAAAAATAAATAAATAAAATTGTTGTTTGAAATAAAATACTTTTTAAAAAAATCAGCAGGAACTCTAAAGAACATCTTGGTCTAGAAACTTCTGGAATGCTGAAATTTAATATTTAATAGGCATTGTCCCTGATTGAATAATAAAAAAATAAAAAAATAAATAACTCCTAGTTTCT